CCATAGTAACTCATTTATACTTAATGACAAAATAAACAAATATTTGCAGGTAATTGAAAATTAGAAACGTCAATTATATTAATTGTCAATACCTACTATATCACAAGATTTGCCTTATTTCGTATAGTTTCTGGAACTTCTTGCTCATTCACGATGAATTGAATTATTTAAAATTACGTTTGACGTTTGGATGGTTTCAATCACATATCAAATTCGAACCACGCATACTCGATCAAACATAATGAATTATTTTGTAAACGAATTTTGACGAAGAAAACTATTTGTAAAACATAAAATTGTGTAGGTATGTACCACGGGCATAACCTGATGTTTATACTCTCGGGCGACTAAAAAGCTCTCGGGCCATAGGCCCTCGAGAATATAAACATCACTATTATGCCCTTAATACATAAATAACTAATATAGCATCCTTGGTTTTAATTTTATTAAACATAAAAGCAAAATTCCATGGCTACCTACTTGGACAATAACTATTGAACGGAGCTCGGAACGGAGTATAGCGATTCGGTCTTGTCCCACGGTGCAGCGACAAGTCCTGCTACTTGCTGAACGTCGGACGCTGTTTGTGCATCGACAACGGATATTGCATCGGGTTCGACATGAGACACTGCCTCGGGAAGGGCGGCTGTCTCACCACTTTGTCTCAGCACAATAAGCACAGTGTGCAGTGTGGACAGAAATTCCCGACCCAGCCGCCATGCACTGAAATAGGATAGTGAGGTAATGCGGCACTAGCACTGTAGAAATTCCAAATTTACCTCTTGAATGCAATTTAGCGGGCGAAGACCTCAATTGACTTGCTCACCACGAAACTAGACAGTCATATTCAAGATAAACTGAATGTATTAGGTTGGCAACTAAATTCCTGAGGTTTTTTAAATTTTTTTTATAATTGTTTTTCTATAAAAATTAACAATTAATTAATCTAGAATGTCTTCTCCGTTGCAGTTTATAACTTTTTCCCAACGTTCAACACGTTTTTTAATACCACGTTTGTCGAAATCACCCCGTGTTGATCCAACAAATGAGTACCTATTTTGTTTTACGCGTTGTGTAGCGTGTTTATCCGGGCTAAGCGAGGCCTCAGACTAAGCCATTCCTTGCGCTGCTTCATACAAGAACCATTTTACATCGCCAGTACAGTAATGATTCGGTAAAGAAATCGATCCTTGTCACTTGTGTCCATGAGTTGATCGGTGACGAGCAAGCAAACCGGCGGAGATTGTGGCTCTTTGATTTTTGTTATTGTCACTTAAAGCATGCGGAATCCATGCTCCAAATTTCTCAACTTTTTACAATTGAGTGAAGATGTTTCTCTATAGCAGTGCAACAGAGCATTCCATTATCAGCTCTGCTAGTTCTCTTGTCGTTTGACGCGAATACTGGTGCAACCTCAGAGTAAGAAATTACTCTGAGGGTGCAACTTCCCCTCGTGTCTAATCGCACTCTTTATATGCTCGTATAATATACTATAATTGGGTTTCCAAATGAGAGTGACATCATTAATTTGTTTTTTGTATATAGACCACACAGTAGTATTAATAATTTTGTGACTGAACTGGACAGGACATTACAAATAAATAACGTGGGTAATAAACTATTAGTAGGTGACTTAAATTTAAATTTGCTCGATAAAAAAAGTGCCGCTGTCTCCGATTATGAGAATTTGCTTGCGGGATACGGATAAGTATGTAAATGCCATTCACGACATTACACGCGAGCAGGTACGGGAAGGTCAACTGAAATCTTGACTAATTGACGGCATATATGTCAGATCCAATTTTCAGAATATTAAGTCAGCAGTAATGCAGCATAAATTGGCCGATCACTGTAATTTACAATGAAAATAATAAATTTACTAAAGGTACATTAATGCACAACTCCCTAAAAAGAAAATTTAATAATAACCAAATAAACAAAGATGTACAAAACCATAACTGGAACGCAATACAAAACAACGATTTAAACAAATATGTCAACAACTTAACAGTAACATTAAATCAAATATATGACCAGAATCGGAACAACAATTTATACAATTCAACCAAAAGCAGGCACGGCATGGATGGATTACAAACAATATTTTAGTTAAATTGAAGGAGAAGGACCGTCACTACAGGAAATGGATATCAAACCCCAATAAGATGAAATACAAAGAAGATTACATCAGGACCTACAGAAACAAAGTAAACCTTTGAAAGCGAAATAGCAATGTTAACAGAAATGTAATCACAGCGTAGAGCCAATAATAGAAGATACAATAGACGATTGTTGCTTCCATATACCAAACTGTAATCAAAACGTAAATTGCGGACCTCGTTGCGGACATAATTAAAAAACGGTTGCAAGTATAAAAGTCTCCGGGTTATTAACATTAGGACAATCGACATTAAATCCAATGAACCCATATTCGCAAAAATAATTATGGAATTGGTAAATAGATCTTTAAGGAGCGCTGTATTCCCAGAAATGTGGAAAGTCTCAATCACAAGACCAATATACAAGAAAGGTAGCGCACTAGAATACAACAATTATAGACCACTAAGTATACTTCCGGCCATTGAGAAGGTTCTAGAAATATACGTCACAGAGCACCTAAAGACATACATAACTACAAATAACATCATAAGTCGAAACCAGTATGGATTCCAAAAGGGGAAAGGAACTGAACAGCTTTTGCTAAAAATAACAGACATCATAAATACACAACTCGATAAAAATAACTATACCGTTGCAACATTCATTGATTTTACTTGACTTGACACTATAAAACCAGACGTATTATTAAAGTGGATAAAAAGTGTTGGAATAGGTCCAATGAATAAAGAATACCAGGAAGGAGAATATCAACAATATACATGCGACCGCGATGGCTTTTGCAAATGGCGGACAGTAGTTTCCTGTTCCAGTGGCGTACCTACCTTACAGTTGTAGAAGGATACAATTATAAAGAATTTTACACGAAAACAATCTAAACCCCCATGTGTCTACTCCGCCTATGACTTTTGTTTAACTAACCTCAAACTACATTCCGATAAAAAATTTGTAAATTTACTTGTACTATATAAAAATAATATTGGTATCATTGAATTTATAACTAGTTATAAATTCAATGATTGGTATCAACACTTACACATGAAATGTAATTCCCAAAGTTTTATTTTTTTCTGTTTTGGAGCAACCACAAGCACAACAACTAACCATTCTTTTTATGTCACTGCAACAGCCACAACAAAAATGACTCATAAGTGGCTTTTGCAAATGGCCGACTTCCGTCGCACTCTCTCTGGTATACAACTTGATTAATGCTCCTTCCTGGTATTCTTTATTCATTGAATAGGCCACAGAGGATTATTATGGTTCGATATTTCATTGTAAAGATTGGATATGAATTTAGTACAAATTGGGCTTCCAATTGCGGAGTTCTCCAAGACCCTATACTGTTTTTGTTATATATAAATGACATTTTTCTAATTATGCAAAAAGCACAGTTATAAATGTGCGCCGACGACGTAGTATAATGTATTCACACCGTGAAATATCAACGTGTAAAAAAATTGTGCATGAAGAAATACACAACCTAGTAAAATGGACACATGGCAGAAACATATTCATAAGCGAAGAAAATACTGTCACAACACAATGGTATTTCATACAGCGCACATGCAGATAGTAAAAGATGTAGAAATTAAAATACAGAAATGTACATGTTACCTATACACAATCCATTTATTGCAATTGTAAAATAATACAATCTGGGTATCAGTTCAATCGCAATTTCTTCCAAATGTTATTGCAAATGGGTAGACCACCAACAATACACATTTCTAGGTAGCCTCAGTATTGCATATTTTCTTCATTATTTTATTGTTAAACACAATAGACCATCTATAAAGAACAAGGAGTAATTATGTAAACAAGCTTATCGAAAATTTACTGCAAAAGGAGGTTAAAGAATTTACTGAACACTGCATTTCTCGCAAACGCCGATGCCTATGTCAGGACGGACGACTGGAGGAGTTCGATTGGGTGCGTTCGCGCAAATTTCTGCAAATACAAAAGAGAATAATATTGCTCGAATTTTCAGTTTTGTATTACATGTTTCCCGAAATCGGCTTTTTTAATATAAAATTTACAATCATATCAAACTTTTTATTAATATTCATGTGACAGTTTTGACAGAATTCTGGATAGAACAAGAAGCAGGAGAAGTGTTATTTCCACTGTCATGGAAACTAAAATTGTGTGACAAAAGAGAGGCATGAAAATGAAGGTTTCATGACTATTTCAGGAATAGTATATTGAAAGACAAGTGTTACAATGCGACCTATTGTAATACGACTATCTTGTGGCACGAGTGGCGACGCGAAGCGTAGCCACGAGTGTCCGCAAGGTAGGAGTATTACAATAAAGCATTGTAACACGCGTTTTTCATACTATTTTTTCTATTTCGGTGCTTTAATTTAATTAAAAAAATCATTATCAGAAACTATAGGGAACATTAGAACTAACATGTTTTATGTTGGGAACACTTTTTATGCCGTTAAGTTTTAGGTTGGCAGCGTAGTAAGACTGACATTTTGAAGTTCAAACATGGAAGTACCCAACGAAGTACCTACTTGTACTAACTAGTAACTGCCAACTTAAGAGATGAGTTACCAAAAAAAAACGACTATAATCACTGTCTTTGTGCAACTGTTTTCGGCCAAAAACAGTTGTACAAAATCATCATTGTGACACCGAAATAGAAAAAAGTAATTCTGTCAAAGCCACCAACGTAGCTATACAACATAATAAATTATGAATCGGATATACACAACCATTTCACCATATAGACACAAAAACCTCTCTTTACCAAAGGACCATTCAATTTCGAATTTATAAAGTGTACAATAGAGTTTCTAATGAACCGAAAAATGCGCCTGTATCACATTTCAAGGCAAAAGTGATCTGTAAAATAGCTTTTCGTTTACGTTTAAATTGTGTGTTAAGGCGTTTTCTATCTACAGTTTCCGAATATCGTTTTAACCGGCTTCTATAAATTGATAGTTTTTGGGTAAGTGTACCTTGTTCGTTGTACTTTGTATTTTGTTCTCAGGTGATGTGGTGATTGAATTTTTTACTCGCAGTGGTGTGTAGAATGGTATTGAAATTTCAGTATGCATTAGTAGGTACATTTTGTTTTGACATTGATAAGTATCGGATAACCTAAAAGGTATAGGCAAAGAGTGGAAAATGTTTTGCTACAAATTACTCAACTGAACGTAAAATATCTAGCGGAAACGCCAATCGGTTAGTGATGAAAAAGCAGGTGCTATCACTGTAAAAGTGGCATTTGTTTTTTTTGCAATTCCTTAGCAGCTATAGCCGCATAAAATCGCGCAAGTAATATTTTCGTTATCCAACGATACGTGATCGACATACGAAATAAATTTACCAATACACACCGCCCCACTTAAGAAATAAACCTGTAACGTAAACTTACTCATTTAACAATTAATATATTAATAATAAATGTATAATAGTTGTTAAATAAATTGATTAATAACAGATAATTATTGTTTATCACTTACTCACAAATTTATCACATGTCCATTTATAACAAAATCAGCGCGAAATCACTAGCATCAATTCGGCGTCGATGTTGGAACTTCCATTACACTCTTCAATTTGCTTACATAACAAACGGAAAGTTTCTAGAAAAAATCGCAGAACTTTTCAAAGTTTTATCGTCTTGATGGCGCCTGTTGGCGCCGCGATGTCTGGGACACACGCTACAAATCCATTAAACTTATACTCCATAGATTTTAATCGGAATTTATTGTTTCAGGTTCGTTTATATTAAAAATGATTGGGAGAGGAGCGAAACTCGTTCGCTGGATATAAAGGCAACTCATTATGGAGCTTTATACGAACTGCACCGGAAATGTTAGCCAATTGACTTTAGATGGGAATGGTACAAGAAACTTAACGAACATTTTGGATTATGAAGTCGATGACTACATTTTTGATAGGACTTACATTAGGGTTATTTTTATAACCATATATTCACTTGTCTTCTGCCTGTGCTTTTTTGGTAAGTCATAATATCTGCTTTTATTCAAATCGTATGCTCTTACGGACTAACTACATTTTTTACTATACAGAAAAGTGTTTTAGTAGCTTTCAGTTGAGCTTGCTTCTTGTGCAGAGTAAGAGATAAACCATTTTCAAAACCCAATGCGAGTTGGTGTGACCTGAGTATCGCTATTTATTATATTAAGTTTACAGTGTGCACAATGCTTGTTCTCGCATATTTAAAAATCCGAACACAACTGAATACCGAACGATCTTCCAGATACCAATTTTTAAAGCGATCGGATGTTTCTAAGCAAAGTTATCGTGCACACGGAAAGACTGACGGACGGGCAGACAGACGGGCAGCCGAACAACCGCCCAGGCAGACGGACACGCTGTCAGACGGGCAGACTAGATGGAAAGACGGGCGGACAAGCAGACGGACAGACAGACAGGCAAACAGTCAAACTGATAGGCAGACGGAGAGACAAACAGCAATACAAAATTATAAACGATCTCGAGGATCGTTAATGAACTAAGAAATAAAGTTGTTATATAAAATGAACAAAATAATGCGAAAATAATGTCGATTTCGTCAAAACGTCCAAACATCAATTTTATTCCTCTCAAAGTAGTTCCCTTGGGCAGCTACATGCTGGTGGAGACGTTGTTCCCATTTCTGGTAGTAGCGCTGGAACTGCTGGAAGTCTTCAACCGCCATGTCCGTTACACTATTTTGGATGTTTTGTAAAGTCCCAAAATGGTATCCTTTGAGGACATTTTTCGGTTTTGGATAAACTCTAAGATTGGCCATTTAAAAATTAGTGTTATTAAACGAGAAACAAGTTATGAAAGGCGTTGATCTAACCCATATTTTTTAGGTTAGTATCGGTAAAATTTCACTTGAAAGTGGAATAGAACTGCAACATATAAAGCACATCTCTTGTTCTCTACTGGACTAGTAAAAATTATTTTTCTGTAATGACATAATTAAATCCAGGATTAGCTCAGTAATAAGTAAACTTTTAAATACTCTTACCTTGCGGAAAGCTGTTTCCTTATTTTCCCTTATAATCTGAAAATCAACATCTGATACTCTGGTTTGATCACTCTCAAATAAATACTCATATAAATTGCATTCTATGAATATATTAATTAAAGTATTATCGCTCCAACTTTTTCGTGATTTAAAATATTGATGTAATTCATTCAACAAATGCAAAATAGAATTCCGAACCCTGTGTTGTGATCACGTGCCAAATCTAATTAATTATCTTACTACATTATTAATTAATATTTGTAAGTAATACAACACCTGGTACATTTTCCTATTCAAAAGATTCACACACTTCTGGATGCTAAACAAAATTTAACCCACACAAATGAACGGTAGAATGATTTTGAAATTCAACTTTACAATTAATGAGAAAAAATCACCAAAATCTGTGCATGGGTTTGCTTATCATTCATAAAAAATATACAAATTTGATCTTGGAATAAGCTTCCGTGGAACGCCCTCTCCAGAAATGACCTTCTCCTTCTTATCTGAAAACGCTTTATTTTATTGCATTTTACTTCCGTTCTTCTTCACTGTGAAGCGGTACACGTATAAAAATTTCTTATACTGGCAAATTTGTAAATTCAAAACCAAAAAAGTCTAAAGCGACCACCAAACTTTTCCGACTTTCAACTTTCATGAAATAACGTTCGGTACGTAAATAGTATATTATATACCGTGGGACTGAAGTAGTACTTTTAATCCCGAAGGTAAAGTTTATATAATTTACCTGAGGGATTAATGGCCAGTTGCACCGTCAAAATTAAGTATCGCTTAAAGTTAAGCATGCCATAGCAACGATTGTCTTAATAATCGTTGCCATAGATTTTAAGTTCTACTTAACTTTAAGCAAGGCTTAATTTTGTTGGTGCAACTGGGCATAAGACTACTCTACTTCAGTCGCAAGGTATATACGATATTTTTCGTACTTCCGAAACTGAAACGTAGGTATACATTATATATGGCGTTACAGAACGCGTTCTTTTGAAAAATCGCTGCTTAACAAGTTACCATAGGAACGTTGCGTTGGTACGACAAACCCTATGCTATGGTAACAAAAAATAATTTGGAAACTGTCATTGCTAGTGTCGTCAGCTTGGTAATGAATGACAAAGGTGTATTTGATATAGATAAAAGAGCGGCCGAAGTAGGCGAAGAATTGTTACCACCGAAGTCCAAAAAACTATATGAGCAGCAGTACGATGTGTTTAAGTAGTGGTGCCGCATAAAAAATGTGGAACAACCTAATGAAAATGCCTTGTTAGTAACTTAATCTTTCCGGGGTTTTCGTCCAAATTTAATCCCGGAGGGACAAAAGTGACACTTCAGTCCTTGTCATAATGGAGTGATGCAATTGTATTTCCTCTATGCCGCTACCAAAACGACTTAACCTGTTACTCCTTTTTGCTTACAGGAAATCTAATGGTAATATTGGTGGTTACAATAAGCCGAAGACTACGTTCGATTACGAACTTCTTTCTCGCGAACCTGGCGGTGGCAGACTTTTGTGTTGGGATATTCTGCGTCTTTCAAAACCTTTCGACCTATCTTGCGACTGAGTAAGTATACCTATACATTGATTAAGTGTGAAGTCATCGACTAATAATACAAACCCGAAAGAACCGGGACCAGTACTGAAACCACGCATTAATTTTCTTTCAATCGAGAAGACGCGCAAAAACGCAAACAATTCGTGTTTTTTCTTGTTGCTTTTTAAGAAAAATCAAAAACAGTTCGATTGGTATATAAATTTGATGACACTAGCTTGAATATTTTTGATCCATATCTTTCAGAAGATCTATAACGTCATTGGATACTTTTTTTTAATAAATAGGGCCCTAGTTTTTTAGTTAGTGATAGTCCCTATAAAGTGATACACAGAAAAAATGTCATTTCTTATGAAAGTGAACTAGGTTAAACCCTATATCAAAGAAATCCTCTACAGAGGGATTCCTTTATACTAAAAATAAATGAGGGTACTATTGAAAAAAATTATCTATGATGTCATAGATCTGTCAAATATCGCTCAAAAACATTCAAGCTACTGTCACAAAATTGTAATTTTTATATATTAATCCAAGAGGTTTTGCATTTTTCTGAAAACACAGCAGGAAAAAAGATGCGATTTTTTTACTTTACTACCATTATGTATCACTTGCTTACATTCAAAGTTATAACACATTTATAGCACGAGCACGAATTTCGCTATTTAACACTTCGGGATCGAATCGATGTACATCGTATAGGTGATATGTTGCAACGATATATCGCTATGGAGTGTATATACAGCGGGCGATAAAATCGGCGCGCCCTAAAGCTATAGAAATGTGGGCAGAATACAATATCGTATGCGACAAATCGCCGAGACGACGACTGTTACATTTTGAACGATACCTCACGTACGATATGCTGCGCAATCGCGCGATGGTGAACCTTATTTATCGCCTCCCTTTGAATTTCAATAATCTCTTCTCTCGTACGATATATCGCCTCCGTATGAACGCCTACTTATACTGCCCTCCTCTTAAACCTGTTGGGCCCCTCAACACGGACGACGATTGTACTGGAGATTAGTCTTAGGTGACCTATCACGTGACCTGACCCCTATTTTAATTATTTAGTTAATAATAACACGAAAGTATTAAATCATTTGTGCTTTCCAAGCTCTTTGCAATGTCGGGCATAGCCCGGGTTGTGTTTGGGGGCGATACAACCAAACCAGATCTTCGGCTTGATAATCACCAGCTTGGCCTTCAAGTCATACTGCACTTTCATCCTATCGCTAGCTAAGTGCACATTATGACGGACATTATCTTTGATGGGACCCAATTTCTGACGTACACGGGAACTGGGCTCAGTCATGTGGTTCCCTATACTGCAGAACGGTTTGCAATCAGGAATAAATGTAGAAATGTGGATATTGGACACCACTTTGCACAAGTGCTTCCCCATTCATATGTTTTACCATTCCGTTTTATTATGGGTGTAAAGCAGTGGTTGGTTCTAGTCTTACGAATATCCAATATATATAGTTTGGAACACCTAGGACTCAAAATTTCCTTCCTGGTCAGTGAAGAAGTTCTTTTCCTAAAACGTCTGCAACAGTTGTCGAGTCTTAATTTGGTAAAACATTGGCTAAAATAGTTCATGACCACCAAGAAGTACCACTTTTCACTGAACGTAAATCACGGTCATCATGAGCTTTTTAGGGTGTCCAGTTATCAGCCGCGGTACTCTCTTTTTAACGTCAATATAAAATTTAAAAAACGACTGAAGTTTAAGTTTTTGGTATTTGTGATTTCGCATAGACCAATAAACAAATTTGCAGTGAGTGAAAAACTGTCACACGCCATACCTTTTTCTAACTACATACTTCTAACTTAACCTTTGAAATCTCATTAAGACAAATGCATATACTTAGCCAGTGGGTATATCTAACAATAAACAACGAAGTCTTGTCTCACAAACAAGATCTAAATTCCTCCTTATAATATTAAAAAGGGCTGATAAAACACAAATATTGTAAAATTCACCTTCGTCAATTCTTTTTAAAAGGCATAATAACACCTATTTGAATTTTAATAATTTGTTGGCACATATAACATGAACGGCTACGATGCAGCAAACTTCAAATTTACTGTTGTTGGAATCTAGGACGAATTGTTAAGCAATACGGCGGTTTTCGCTAATGAAACATCCGCCTCGTTCTCCAATTTCTGACGGTGTTCTTTTTTGCAGTCTTGAAATACAAAGATTCTGATAGCGTCTATTATCGACAATGTCCGGGAGACACATTACTTTCACGAACAATCCTTTTTGCCTAGTACATTTACGTGCCTTATTTGGTTTCCCATGACATCAATGAAAAACGCGTGATTGTATACATGGTCTTTCACGACCCTGTACCATTGGTCAGTCACCTCTTACGACATGCAGTGTCTTTGCAATGGAGTTTTATTCTTTCAATTGTAAAAAAATGGAAATATCGCTGCTTTTGCAACTTTTACACTAACTCGCATATGAAGTGATAACGTTTTATTTAATACTGTGCGATAGGGCGCTTAATTACATTACCGTCATTACCAATTTTCCCGATCTACAGCATTGCTCATGTAATCTAATCTCAATCTTTAATAATACGAAAGTTACCCCGCCCATTCCTACTCGATTTATTCGTATTTCTATTTCCCAGATACCTAATACTGGAAATAGTATATTGAAAGACAAGTGTTACAATGCGACCTATTGTAATACGACTATCTTGTGGCACGAGTGGCGACGCGAAGCGTAGCCACGAGTGTCCACAAGATAGGAGTATTACAATAAAGCATTGTAACACGCGTTTTTCATACTATTTTTTCTATTTCGGGGCTTTAATTTAATTAAAAAGTAATTATGAAAAACTACAGGAAACTTTAGAATTAATATGTCTTAAGTTGGCAACACCATTTACGTTGACAAATTTTAAGTTGGCAGCGTAGATAAACACAACACTGACATTTGGAAACTTTAAATTCCGTGAATGTGTAATTTTTTATTCGTAGATAAATTTATTTATGGTGGATGTGTAAACTGCTGATTTGGAATGTATTAAGTTCTTCGTACGTGTACCAAAAATCAAGGAAAACACATAAATTTTACGTAATTTGATTTCACATCGGATGATTTGACGTTGACGTCTTGGCGAACTGCCAACTTAGAGATGAAAAGTTACCAAAAACAATGTTACAATGGAACTCATTGAAACACTGTTTTTGCCGAAAACAGTTGCACAAAATTCTCATTGTAACACCGAAATAGAAAAAAGCTTTTTCTACGAAAGTGTAGAAACACGATTGTTTTTGTAGGTAAATTGATTGTGAAAACAGGTCTTTGAAACACTAGTGCGGCAAAAATATTTTCTGCACGCATTTTCTACACGCTAATAAACATATGCGAAGTAACTCTTTGTAATTGTATTGCTTTATTCACAGTTTCGTTATATAAGACAGACAATGGTAGAATTTTCTTTGCCTTCTGCTACAGAAAACGTTCTTGGGACATGATTCTTGGAGTCAGGAATCGTTAAGTATCAATAAAATTGCATCTTGTTCTGTGAAATCCGTTACAGTCATTTTACAACGTTCGCTCCGACGGCAAGCTCCAGCCACTCCAAGGACGAGAGCAACCTGTAATTAAATTATGCTTATTTATGATTTAAAAATACAATAAGAAATTCACAAACCTTCATCATTACAAATGTTTCATCAGGCGCTTCTCCCAAAAACTTAGCGATTTGTTCTCTTATGAAAACGCTCCTTTCCGAAACGCTGCTTACACTTTTGGGGTAGCAATTCATGCGAAACCGCATTAGCCATTTCCGCAACGTCCGGCGGGGTGCACATACCTTCTTCATCTTCAGTTTCGTCAAAATCTATCTTAACACTTCTTCACTACGCCACAAATTGTTTGACTTAAATTTACGATTTTTCAAACAATTATGTTTTGTCATGGCAACCGGCTTACTGGATCATTTACAATTGAAACATCCAACTACGATCAGACTATACGATTTTTTGTCGTTATTTGGCTAGTTGAAATTTCTAATTTCTAGAGAAGAATTTTTCACTTTCGTAGAAAAAATAGTATGAAACACGCATGCCGAAACGGTCATTGAAAAACTCGTATAATAGGAACACTCGCTGGCGCTCGTGTTCCTACATTTATACTCGTTTTTCAATAATACCGTTTCTGCACTTGTATTTCAATGTACTATTCTNACAAGATAGGAGTATTACAATAAAGCATTGTAACACGTGTTTTTCATACTATTTTTTCTATTTCGGGGCTTTAATTTAATTAAAAAGTAATTATGAAATACTACAGGAAACTTTAGAATTAATATGTCTTAAGTTGGCAATACCATTTACGTTGACAAATTTTAAGTTGGCAGCGTAGATAAACACAACACTGACATTTGGAAACTTTAAATTCCATGAATGTGTAATTTTTTATTCGTAGATAAATTTATTTATGGTGGATGTGTAAACTGCTGATTTGGAATGTATTAAGTTCTTCGTACGTGTACCAAAAATCAAGGAAAACACATAAATTTTACGTAATTTGATTTCACATCTGATGATTTGACGTTGACGTCTTGGCGAACTGCCAACTTAGAGATGAAAAGTTACCAAAAACAATGTTACAATGGAACTCATTGAAACACTGTTTTTGCCGAAAACAGTTGCACAAAATTCTCATTGTAACACCGAAATAGAAAAAAGCTTTTATTTACCGTTCCCTAAAATAAAAGTCGCAGTTCTACATCATTTGTCATAATTATAATGTACTTCCCACAGTAACGATATTTTATGTCTTTCGAGGGATTCACTCATCCGTTTAATTACGCAAAATTAAGCCTTCCCTATTTATTATGAATTTGTTAGTGGCTTAGTTTATTTGCTATTACCATTGAATAATAGATTTATTATTCAATGCTATTACTAATTAGGTAATATGGGAAATACGAATGTGCGTGTGCGCTATAATTGCACGCTTTTGTATCTGTTGGGCCAATAAA